TACCTTGTGATTGACAGGTTCATTCTCAGTAAGTCCGTCCAGCTCAACGCACCAAACTCAGATTAAACTGTCAAACTAGTCAGTGCTGATCAGATATGGATACAGATTCTGTTACTGCGTTGACTATTTCTCTACTAAAATCATTTCACAAACATATTTAAGTGAATTGTTTAGCTGTAATACAAGATGGTGTGTGACCAGGCGAGCCGCCATTGTTTCCTGCTATGGATGACTTGAAACTGCTCAACCAATGATATATAATACTTTTTAAAAAACTGCCCATCATAAATTGGCAGAGTGCTCTTTTAACAATAGTAGTGAAATATTGTGATATTGGTATCAGGCTCAATACGCTCAGTCAGACTGTATATCAAGTATTGATAGTAGATTTTTAAACAGTTTAAAACATGAAGTTTTATCTTTATTCTTGAGCACAAACAGGAAAAAGAAAGAGCTTATTATCGCTTCACAACCATCAGTCAGATGTGTCACTTTCATGAATTTTTAATGAAGACATTAAGATCAACAGGCTTCAGAAGCATCTGGTAATGTATTTGTCCCTAGACATTTACTGATCCAGACAACATGTTATTTTGAATATTCTGGCTTGAAGACTTTATTTTGAGCTCTGAAAACATGTGATAGGGAGTTACTCTTAATTTATGAACATTTACAGACTGCATAGGTAATCAATTATTTAAAAACATTTGATAATTAAAAGGAATTGCTCATTAGATGCATTCACACTGCGAGCACCATAATCAACAAGTGTCAAACAGTCGATATGTGTTTCAGATGAGAACAATTATTCATGGCTGAACTTTTCGTGGTCATCAATTTGCATACAACCTAACATTTCATTTCATAATCAATACTTTTGTGAGCCAGAACTATTGACAATGGACAAGAGATTTATTACAAGCGTTCAAAGCCTCTCAGGTCACTGAACGCCTCAACAGCGATGTGTCATGCATGGCTGCACTCGACTGGATACACAGTTTATACAGAGATACAGAGTTTAATGTTTGGTTTGTTTTAACTTCCCATATCGTCTTATTTATTACATTCTGTTATTTCATGCAAAAATGCAAAAGCTGAAAATACAATAATTCCAGTTTGTGTAGCAGAACTTTGTTGTTTTGTTGTCAAACATCAAGCTTCTTATGAACCCCTCAGATTTATCTTGTGAGTCTTTGTTGGGAATCACTGACAAAAGACAAAGAAAAGAAGCAATTTTTTACAACTGAGAAGCTGTAACTCTAAGATTTTTTGCAGTTTTGCTTCAAATATTAGTCAAACAAATAATCAATTATCAAAAAATTGCCACAAGAGTTCATTTTCCTTTAAGGTAGCTATCCCTTCACTATCTCTGTTTGTACTACAACCTTGTTGTTATTAATGTTGTAAGGAACCACTGATTACATTCACTTAACATTACTACTAATATTTTCTGAGCTGTGAAATAAAAATGTAAAAAAATGTATTTCGTCCATGCGAAAAGTGCAGAAAACATCCAACTTTAAAAAAAAACTACATGGAGTAACTAAATGCTGCAACAAACAAAGGTAATCTATTGAGCCATTCATTAGCCAGTTGGCCAGTGGACAAAACACTTAATTTTGCACCTTAAATGAGTTGCTTTAACTCACCGTAACGTTTCAATGCCACAGTAACCTGTTTAAGGAGCTTTAACAGGATTCCTCTTAATCACAGTAGGACCTTATTTGAACCTAACAATGTACAGTTCAGCACAGGTTGGGTGGGTATAAAAGACGGAGATATTATAAATAATTAGAGATGAAAACGATCTAATCCAGTATCGGTATCAGATGTCACATATTGCAGGGTTCTCACTCTTTTTAAGAAATCATTTTCAGGACATTTTCTTCACAATACAAGATAGCACTTTCTCAGAAGGGCAGTCAGCGTTTTAAGGGACATGCTCGCGGCCTCAGAAGAGCATAAATAACAGTTCAAATCAAGTAGAATTTATTTACAACAAATTCATCGTCAAATTCATGAGCCAAACAACAAAAGTAAATTTGATCATAAACCTGCTTAGATGTTTTAGACCATGCAGATTATCCTACCGACAGTCGAGTTTCAAACAAAATACACACCCAGGTTTATGTAATCTGAGCGAGTGAAATCTTCCAGGACAACGTAGTTAATTTGTTGTGTTTCCATGACTGGAAAATTAGTCTCTGAATTTCCATGTGGAAACCGTACCGATCCAGATTCTATAGGCTTATGAATTATATAATAATGCAAGTTTAAGCCAAAATGTTATAGAAGGAATCAAATATTTAGTAGTTCCCATATTTACTGTCTCCCAGTATTTTATGAGTTCGAGCATGAGCCCGCCGTAACGTAACATGAGACTGAAACTGAGTGAGCTAGAAACAGCTGGCTAACTCAACAGTCCTTAGTTGGAAGATATTTTAGTTTCAAATTATAGAAAAGCAACTTGTAAAGAGTGAAAAGCCGACATTCTGGGGGGGAAGTTGTGCTGCATCATAAAATACAACCAATTTAACTAAGTGGTATCAGTATTGGTATCTGCACATATCCAAATTCATGGAAGAAGAAGGTGGATCTCTAGAGGGTGAATGATGAGGATGAGATTTTGCCTAATTTGAATGTATAATTTGAGGGGTGGAGATGAGGTTGAGGGCACTGGAGGACACCTTAGTAAATCCTGTGGTAAAGGTTAGGGCTTGGTAAATCCACATCTACATGCAGATCAATACAGGCCCGCTGTCCTCAAGGTTAATTTGACAGCCTGCTGTATTTTGATTGAACTGCCAAGAAGCACATACAAATGACAAATTAACCACTTTTAAAATCACTGTTAGCATGAAACTATAGTTGTAAATGTCTTAATGTTTTCTGTAGATTCACAAAGAAATCTGACATAAGAAATGTCTTTAATGTCATCGCCAGCAAAACAGCGGGATGTGTATAATGAGACCGTAGAAAAAGGTTCACATTAGAGCTCCACCAATATGTCGGCCAATAATAGCTCACTGCTCATCATCATAATCAAGTATTCTATTGATTACTCCATCGATTAATTGAGTTGACTGGATAAGAAACACTTTTGTTCTATTAAAGCGATAGTAGTAATATAGCAATAGTAAATATACAACAGAGAAAATAAGAAAAATAAAGACATTTATGGAACTATTATTCTAGGAAAAACTATTTACAAATGAGTGTGCAGAGTTATGTAACTGTTTCTCAATCAAAATGTGTGCAAATATCTACAAATCTGTATTAAGATTTGAATATGTATTGAGATTTGTAAATGTTTGGACAAATCTGTAAATGCACACATACATATTAATGATGGAGAAGTCAAAATATTTGATCCAAGAGCTGGAAATACAGACTTTGGGAAGTGAGTCTTTGCCAGTGTGTGTGGGTGAGGGCTAGTAACATGAGGGAGGTTGCAGTATAACAGTTACTGAAAGGATGTGTGTTGTGTTTGCTGCCACCGAAAATAAATAATGTTTATGCTCGTTAATGTTACTACAGTGTCTTCATCTTCTGCTGCTCACATTTGAGTTGATCCAGAGTGTGGACAGTTAGTTAG